ATTTCTGGAAGGGCTGATAATCCCTTTTAGGCTCTTGTGTAGAGCACTGATGTGTTCCTCTTTCTGGCATAGCATCTTGATTTGGCCATCCTTGAGTATGCACTTACCGGCAAAGGCTATACTGTACTTGTGCTTCAGCTGGTGTGAAATCTTAAAAAGACTTGAACCCCAGGCCTGTGCAGATTGACCACCCAGATAGCCCAGGCTAGGTATGCTTAAAAATCTTAGCTGCCCTGGGAAGGGATGGTGTGGGCACCTCTAGGAAGAACTTTGAGCCACGTTATGTGTTTAATGTTAGTACTGTGACATTGCTGCATTGTGCAGCTAGGTGACGATAGAGGAACTAGGCAGTTCTGTGATCTTTTCATGTTATTGGTGACTGTCGAAGTGCAAAGCAAGGGAACAGTCAGGGTTCCTCTTCTCTCTAAGGTATACTAAGTATTGCTGGTATTCAGGGTGCATCTCTGGTAAAGATTATGGTCAGTCAGTGAATTTGGCTTTGAACTTGGCATCCAGATTGCTTTTAAAAGACAGTGTTGACACAAAAATCAGGATTTTCTCTCTCCTTTTCTGTAAGTTTGATCACTTGGCAGTGAGACCATATTATGTTCTGATACGAGAAGTTTTTCTTTGTTCTTCTCAAACAGTTTTTAGCTGATCTTTCTTCCCGCTGAATGTAAAGCAACTAAGCTGATAGATGTCTGTTGTGACTATCTAGCTGATTGCTCTTTTCACCACCTATCCTTAAAGGCATCTGCGACTGACTGAATCAGTTGGGAGATCAAAAACTTGAATTTTTCTCTTGCAGCTTCCCTCCACATTTTCCCCCAAGACCATCTCATCTTCAATGAATTTCCAAACGCTTAGTCATAATTTTCTTTTAATTTAGACCAGATATAATCTTAAAAAAAAAAAAAACATCAGGAAGAAAGATTTTAAGCCTTTAAAACTATGAAGAATTTTGTTTTGCAGTGACATGAAAGAGAACATTTTTAAAATTATCTAAATAACACGTGATATATATGGACAGGCTGAGAGAAGAAAAGATCTTAGGTATGTGGCTTAAGTTATGTAATCCAAAAGACTATTGCATGTCTGGCGTTACAAATTCTCAGAGGTATCAGGCTCCAAAACAGCCTCCTCTAGGGTATACCTCTAAAACTGCATTATAATACAATTTGTAGAGCTGCCACTTGAGATTGAATTGGTACCCAACTAGACCTGGAGATCTGATGCCCATCACAGGAAAATAGGCATCACTCCGTTGGCTGTTCAGCCTCTGAAAGCTTGAGAGAGGCCTTTTTCAAGGAAGTGGGAGAAATTCAAGTGTTTGATATTAATCAAGTGAACACACCATTGCTTGAGACATGCTTGTATGTTCTTGAGCCTCCCGGGGAGATCTGGACTTGCTGGGGTGAGCAACCGAATTCCAACAGCAGTGTCTCATCATTGATTCCTTCAAAGGATCTTAGTCATCAACGTTGTATACAGATTTCAGCGTTGCACTTAAGAAGTTAACAGAAATCTGAGGATATTCACATTTTTTTTTCCAAAAAGGGTGATACGAAAATCGCGTATACATTCAGTAAAATCATTCCCTGTGACTGCTGGGATTACCTTTGAGGTAGAAGTTTACACCTGGTCAGTACCATGAAGCTGTTGGCTTGCTACAAATTTGTATCTTACTGTATTCCGTAGTATCACCTGCCCATACCATTAATGCATCAGCACCAATGCTGCTGTGGTGGAATAAAGAGGATTCTGATCTATTTTGTGGATGAAGAGGAAGGTTGGCTGTGCTCCACTGGCCGTATTTATCAACTAATGTAATGAAGTTTTAATGTCAAAAATCTGTTGTTGATGCTTTGCTTACAGTTATATGAAATGGATTTTATCTTAAAAAAAAAAAAAAAAAAAAAAAGAAAGAATTATTTACAGAATGCCATCTGCATTGTGTTGTTTTATGCAAGTGTCCAGATGTTAGGAAGCAACAGATTTAGATTTCTCCAAGAAGTAAGGGGTGAAGGTCTGAGGTGAATATCTCAGTAGTTGCTGTTTAGCACCTGTCCCAGACTCCAAGCAGAATGGTAGCTAAATGGCACAGTACAGTACACCTGCAATGCTTCAACAGGAGGCAAAAGTTGCAGAAAGACACAGCCAGTAATCCTGCGTGGGCAGAACTTTTTAGAACTGAATTATGTGTTTTAATGGCAAGGTGATCAACATTTTTCTTGCTTCTGTTTCTCTAATGCAGCATTCTGCAAAAGAATTAAGGTAAGTCATGGAAAAATTTTTGTCCTTATTGCATGACTTGTTTATGGTGGATATGGGAACAAAGATAGCTTCAGAAATGAATGGATGATTACTGTTTTGATAGAGCTGTTGTACGTAAAAGGAACTTAAACTGTGTATTCTCATTTGACAAGAGAAAAATACTACTTTCACAAATTCTCTCATACTTTTTTCTGCCTTGGAACAGAAGGCTGATTTTTTTTTTTTTTTTTTTTGCATAAGTGGTGCTGTGATCAGATTTTCAAATTTGATTATTTTCAAATCTTTATCATTTCAGATCAGGTCATTTAACAGCTTAGTATACATTGTTCCCACAAGTTAGGTCTTGAATATCTATTAGGCTTCCTGATGAAGCATGGGTATAAAAGAACATCTAGTGATGCCTGATAAAACAAACTAAAGAACCAGATTGAAATATGGACCGTGTATGTTTAGGAATATGTCTGCACGTATCACAAGCTTTTATGCATGAAAGAGAAAAATGAGAGAACATATGTGGTAGCATCCTGGGAGTACAGGCTCAGTTTTAAACCATCTGAAATGAAGCTTAAGTTAGCAATCTTTTACACAGCTTTTGTTTTGTTGTCTGCATTAAGGCATTGCGTAACATGCGTAGGAGAGTTACAGTAGGTCTGGTGGTGCATGGCATTTTAAAATAGGTTATTTAAAATTCCAGGCCACAAAAGGGAGCATGTGCTCGAGCACGTGCCGGGGGCTGACAGCAAAGAGAGCGCACTCGGAGCGGTAGCGAAGGCGTTGGGTTGTCTGGAAGGGCACCACGGGAAAGTGCTTTGCTACGTTTATCTTCCCTTGGAGCCAGTAGACAGTCAGGCAAAGTCATATGTTGTTAAACATACTAATGAGAGACCCTCTGATCCTGAGGGCAGCTGCTGACAACTGAAACCGATTTATGTTTTTAGAGATACAATTACCATTTTTGAGTGGTTATGACTTTAAGTTGATATTTCTTGATGTCGAATGTAGAAACATGAGCAGCTTATTGTTTGGCTTATGTAGTTCCATGGTAGTGTTAAAAATCATCTGTAAAAGACACTTTTCTTTCCTGTTTTTGTAAGTGTAATTCTTGCTTAGTGTTACAAAGGTAAACAAAATGTCATCTTTTGACAGCTCAGGGAGGGGTGCGTGGTCTAGTGTGGTCCCATGAAACCAAGCAACGTTTTCTGTAGAAAGGGTGCCCAGGGGATTTCTTTTGCTTCTGGTAAACTTGGACACTAAAACTAAGGATGAATTTTATCATACACCGGATTCGGATGTTAGTTTATCCTTTCCACTATGCTTTTGGTATAATTTTTTCAGTAAACGTGTTCAGAGAGGAATTAATGGGCAAAGCCTGTAAGGGTAGGGCTTCAGTCCCGCAATTATACCTTCGGCTCCGGCGGGAGAGCCTCACAGCCCCAGCGGCCCTGCAAGGGACCCCAAGCCGTGGCGGCTCGGTGGTCCTCCCCAGCCCCCCAGTATATTGCTGTTGTCTTGGGCCGGCAGCCCAGGCATGCAGAGCGCCGAGACCTTGGCTGTCTCTCAGCGGGAGTGGGCACAAAGCAGTGGAAAGAAGACTTCGGGTAGCAGTAAAAGTAGAAGTTGGGAAAGCAAAATATATGTAAGAACACAAGTGTTTAATTTTCCAACTTGTGTGGTTTACTCTGTGGTGGGTTTGGGTCCTGCAGGGTTTGTCTTGTTTGTTTGGTTTTAGCCTTCTGCAACCCCTTTGTGTCCGTTCATTCTCCCCATTAAGAACTGAGGATACAATTATCACGACTAGGGAAGA